AGTCCACCTGGTGTGTAAACCCACCAGGTGTGTAAACCCACCAGGTGTGTCACCCACTAGGTGTGTAATCCACCAGGTGTGTAGTCCACCAGGTGTCTAACCCACCAGGTGTGTAAACCCACCAGGTGTGTAGTCCACCAGGTGTGTAAACCCACCAGGTGTGTCACCCACCAGGTGTGTCACCCACCAGGTGTGTAAACCCACCAGGTGTGTCACCCACCAGGTGTGTAACCCACCAGGTGTGTCACCCACCAGGTGTGTCACCCACCAGGTGTGTAAACCCACCAGGTGTGTAGTCCACCAGGTGTGTAACCCACCAGGTGTGTCACCCACTAGGTGTGTCACCCACCAGGTGTGTCACCCACCAGGTGTGTAAACCCACCAGGTGTGTAGTCCACCAGGTGTGTAGCCCACCAGGTGTGTCACCCACCAGGTGTGTAGTCCACCACGTGTGTAGTCCACCACGTGTGTAAACCCACCAGGTGTGTAAACCCACCAGGTGTGTAACCCATCAGGTGTGTAAACCCACCAGATGTGTAACCCATCAGGTGTGTAACCCACCAGGTGTGTAAACCCACCAGGTGTGTAACCCACCAGGTGTGTAACCCACCAGGTGTGTCACCCACCAGGTGTGTAGTCCACCAGGTGTGTAATCCTCAAGCTGTATGTAGCCAACCAGGTGTGTAACCCACCAGGTGTGTAAACCCACCAGGTGTGTAACCCACCAGGTGTGTCACCCACCAGGTGTGTAATCCACCAGGTGTGTGATCCTCAAGCTGTATGTAGCCAACCAGGTGTGTGATCCACGAGGGGTGTGTGTCGCCCACCAGATGAGTGGGTAGCCCACCAGCCCATCAGTGCGTGCGTGTGTGTACAGGCGCATTCAATCCATGAGGAGCGTGCGGAGATGTGTTTCTCGTTACGCAAGTGGACGAAGCAGCAGGCGTTGTTGACTTTCGTTTGACTTTCGCGGCACACTCCACTGGAGACGAATTACTTGGTTCACTGATTATGAGACCCGAATATTTGTAAGGGTTTAGCGCGAGACTCAACGCAAATGTAGAACTTCACACTGACCTTGCCCTGAGTGAAACCATTTACTCCTCTCGGTCGTAATTCTTGAGTACCCCAACATTTTGTTTTACGATTGTCTCGTTATGAGCAGAGACTCATAAATGCGGTATGTGTGCCCAAATCTCAGTGACGGCCTTTCTACAACACTCTTAAGATTCATACTCTTTGGTTTTTTCGGTAAAGTCACGTATGTTAAAAAAGAAAAAAGAAATTAAATCACGACGTTTCGGAGGCAACACAAGCTTCCGTCTTCGGGTGGAACCGTCACAGCAAAATTACTGTATCAGTAATTTTATTTATTTGTTTTAGTTTTTCACCTACGTGACTTTACCGAAAAAACCAAAGGGTATGGATCCTTGCAGTCACGAAAACATCACACACACACACGGCTCCGCACGATGCCCCAGAACAAAGCTGACATCGTCAGCACGCGAATCGCGGTGTTAACCCTGGATAGTGCTGGGTCCGGAGACCACCGTGCATAACAGGTGCTATAGGTTGCAGAGCTCCGTTGTGAACCAGCAGAGGGCGGTGTAGCGACATCCACTGCTGGGCTCTGTTTCAATGTGTGGCACATTAGGAATGGATCACTCTTTTAATTATATCCTTGTGTAGCAAGGGAGTAAAGTGTGGTTCTGTGAAGGTCCCGATGTGCTGTGCAGTGCATCAACACATGTGTGTACAGCAGCATGTGATGACCGAGTCGGGCCTGTAGGTGGCTGGCAGGGTTAATGAATAACCGCACGTGTAAACCAGCCACATGGTCAATGGCGTCTCGGAAGAATTGCTGCGTGTAACACGCGCTGTTGCATTTTACAGAGTGACGGTGCGGTTCTTCACAAGATTAATATTAACCACAATAAATAAATGTGCTTGCCCTCGATTTGGAGCACCTGCCCACGTCCTTCATTTCGAGTGTGCAACAAATGCTCCCACGTCGAAGCAACCCACCTTCGCCAGCCCGATCTGACCGGGGTGGTGAATTATGGTTAAATACCCCCCCCCCCCGCCACAGCCCCCGACGACCAGCACGGAGTAAGCTCGGCTCTCATCCAGCAGTAGAGAAAAGGCTGTTCACGATATGCGCAATCGATGGCCAGCCACATATGTTTCATATTCGCAGATCGCAACACCCCTGGTGTGGATGGGCACTATTTTCATTACGCGTTATTTAAACTACATGTAAATGAATTACATTAATAATTCGAAATTGTCTTGTAAATTACGAAAATCAAAGTGATTGGTAATTGTATATGCATTACACGAGATACGGTTAATGTGCTTAAACTTCCTGCATAAAGGTATGTATGTAATGCATACGAGAGTACATACGCCATGGAGATGGAGCGATTAAATGAGTCCGTGTGCAGGTGCTTGGATGGATCATGGATTATTGCATCGTAGGAGCGCGAGTTTCTGGCGGCTTAGGCGGGCTTTCATCCATCGGTGGACTGACCCTGGCTGATAGTGAAGACGCATTATATAAGTAAGCTCACGTGGCGATTTAAGAAACAATGCTGTTACAGTATTTAATTGCGGCACTTTATTTCTTTTCGGTTTTTTTGCTTTTGTAATGTTGGTTACCCAGGTCACTCTCGCAACTTGGACTCATCCTGGTACCCGTGAGTCCACGCCTGGTTACACAAATAAACTTGAAACCTGAATGTTGAGTTCAGTCGGACACAGGTGCACGTGCGTAACCAGCCACACGGGTGCCTCTGGGGTTCGTTCACAGGTCCAACCACGAATCTCCTCGTGGCCCAGGTTCCCCGTGAACTCGGACTCAGCGTGGACACGAACCCAGCTTACCAGGTTCCCAGGGTTCGATGTCCCCCATCCACGTAGGGACAGGCGTGGGGTGGGGCCGTGTCATCCGCCCCTCCTGCTCCCCGGGCGAGTGAGTCACGCGCAGTCCGCGGTCTCCAAGGGTTGCGAGGGCTCTCACGTTACCGCCCGCAAAACCGGTTCTGAGAGACGCGCCGAGGCCCCCGTCTCTAACACAGAGAGGCCTCGCTTCATGCAGCGAGACAAACAAATTCGTGCTTCGTCGGTGGGCCCTGCAGTGATGCCAATCCCACGAGTCTAGATCTTAGGATGAGGGCATCGCCTCAGGTGTCATATTCAGCACATGGACTCACATCTGAAATGTATCACATGTACTCAGGTCTGATATTTATCACATGAATTCAGATCTAATATTCAGCATATGTACTCAGATCTGATATTTATCACATTAATTCAGATCTAATGTTCAGCATATGTACTCAGATCTGACATTTATCACATGGACTCAGATCTGATATTTAGCACATGTACTCAGATCTGACATTTATCACATGAATTCAGATCTAATATTCAGCATATGTACTCAGATCTGACATTTATCACATTAATTCAGATCTAATATTCAGCATATGTACTCAGATCTGACATTTATCACATGGACTCAGATCTGACATTTATCACATGAATTCAGATCTAATATTCAGCATATGTACTCAGATCTGACATTTATCACATTAATTCAGATCTAATATTCAGCATATGTACTCAGATCTGACATTTATCACATGGACTCAGATCTGACATTTATCACATGAATTCAGATCTAATATTCAGCATATGTACTCAGATCTGATATTTATCACATGAATTCAGATCTAATGTTGAGCATATGTACTCAGATCTGATATTTATCACATGAATTCAGATCTAATATTTAGCACTTGGGTCCTTCGCGGGAAAGTTGTTGCATCGCGAGACCGTGAAGGATGGCGGTGACTTGTGGAGTCCTTCATCCAGCAGTGGATTGACCATGGCTACTGATGATGATGATGATGATCGACACGTGCTGCCTGCCAGGTGACCCAACAGCTGATGGAGGCATTGGGCTGTGCGTGATGCTGGGTTGCTGTTCGCGCGCATTCCAGTCGAGCCGAATCACCAATAAAAGCGCCGCGAGTGATGTTTGTTATCTGCGCAGTAAATAATGAATCAATTTTATCCCTCGTCACGGGATTTAAATCCGAACTTCTTCACTGGCTTAATCGTCCACTATGTACAGCGTTTAGTCCATCCACTACTGGATGTGTGAGTCTATGGGCCTCTGCGTGAGTCTTTTTGGTATATATGTGAGCCTATGGGTGTCTGTGAGTGTAAGGGTTCCTATTACATAGCGCAGCATTGTTTGCATAACATAAACCCCGGTGAAAGGAATGAGGATTGAAACGCTCTCCCCCTGTCCAATCCTCCCCGCCCGCCCTTCCGGCCCATGACCTTTAGCGCAGCTGCACCGCCTGCACCCTCGATATCTGTGTTGGGAGAAACCAACAGGCGAGGCCCGGCCGGACCTGGTTGGTGAGGTTCAAGCCCTCGGGCTGTGTGGTGGCCACGCTGCCATGGAGATGTGCAGGGGCGGCAGGGCTGTTGCGGTGTTGATGCACCCAAGTCCCCAGCTGTCTGAAAGCTCTCTCTTGAGACTAGATTGAGAGAGAGAGAAAGAGAGTTTGGAGTTCTGCCATTACTCGTACGGTACATTTCATTAAAGCGTGTTTTTAAAAAAAAAGTATTTTGAAATATTTGTTTATGGCAGAGTCGTCTCCCGTGTGAAGTTGTTGTGTGATGAGTGACGGTTGAATTGACGCACGGGCTCCACCCAGGCGGGCGCGGGGTGGTGGTGGTTGTTGTTGTTGGTGGTGATGATGTTGGGTATGCGGTAGAGTTACCTGCTAACTCAGCCCCCCCCCCCACACACTCGCTATTACCACCTCCTCCTTATCCTCACCAATCGTTATCACCATCATTGATTGGCACGGGCTGTGGTGCGAGGGATGTTGTGATGTCCCCTTTTCGTCGCCCGGTGCCTGGAGTCTCTGCCCCGTGGGTTCCGAGCGAAGTTTAACCCCCCCCCTCTCCATCCCTCACCTCTTCCTTGCATCCACCAAACCCACCACCACTCCTTATCCTCCCCTCCCTCTCAAACTCGTCAATTCCGTCCCTCCGTCTTTTGCCTCCCTCCCTCCCAGAGCCGCGCACCGCGCCCTAGCCGCAGGTCGTCGCGGGTCGCGCCTTTTAGCGCCCCCCAAACTCCTCCCGCGCCTCACTCGGCTCTCTCCTCCCTCCAGCGCAGGTTCCCCGTGCCCTCTCTTATATCTCCTCTCATCGAACGCTCAAGTTCAAATACCGCACCGGATCATCGTCGTCGGTACGCGCTCGAGGCAGGCGAGGTGCCGCAGGAAGAGCTCTACACCCGGTGGTGGTGGTGTTCTGCGTGAAGAGTCCCGCGGAGTTCCAGAGTCGCCGAGAGAGAAGAAGGTTCCCTTTGGAGGTGGGGGGAGGGTCACTCGAAGGGAGAGAGATCATGGCTGGAGACGCGGCGCGCCTGCGGAGGATGGTGATGTTAGCGGTGTTGGCGGCGATGGCGGTGATGGTGTCTTCTCACGAGGTGAGCCCTTGTGTGTGTGTGTGGGGAGCGGTGGTGTAGCGGTTAGCGCGCTGCGCTATGAACCTGGCGACCCGAGTTCGATTCCCGCTCACGGTCAACACCGGTGACGATTATCTGAACCGGTCCTAGGCCTCCCCTAGGTCGACTCAGCCTCAAATGAGTACCTGGTGCGGTGTGTAAACATCGTCGCTGGGGAGACAAATGCGGTCGGGCGTGGTTCTGGCCACCCACCCCCTCGTGTGCCGTGCCGGCCTTCATAGGTGTTCGCTAACAGCACCTGCCCCTACAGTCTGTTAAGGCTATACGGGGGGTAATTGTATGTGTGGTGGACTTATTTCGCAGCGCACGTAGCCAAAACCATGCTGCTTGGAGGTGCGGGCGAAGGACGGCAAATTAAACGCACAAAAAGGAGGCTTGTAGGAGGCTTCAAGAGTTCATCTCGGAGTTAATTCCAGAATTTCAGGTTAGGGCTCTTCCTGCTAGAAGGGTCGACATTATCACCATCATCATTCCCACTGTGGTCGATAAAATAGGCGAATGAGTAACACGTCAACAGTGGTGGTCTTGTAAATCTCGCTGGCTCTCGTTCATAGGAATGTGTAATTTCCAGGGCCGCCTGTAGATACATTTCTGAAGACACAGATCGCCTTTTTTATGCCAAGTGCTGTTAGCAAGCACCTATTGAGAGGCCTTTGTTACGAATGTTTATACAACTGCGCCACGGGTGCTCATTTAAGGCTGAGTCGACCCTAGAGATGGCCAACAACAAGTTGCGACACCGCTCGCACCGCGTGATGCGTCACAATGAAGGGAGCGGATGGCGCGTTGAAGATTACCGTCAGCTTAGATCCGTGTTCTTCACTCGCTTTCAGAGTGCGGGGAGGGGGGTACTTTCGCCGATAAGACATCACCAAACAATTGTTGAGTTTGACAGTAGCACGATGGTGTAGGCCAATCCGTTTCAAAGACAACGCAAATATTATATTCTCCGAGCACGTTAGTTTGCACGTTTTGCCACAAGCAGCGCGTGTGGTTAACGCAGACCTGGTGCCTTGCACAAGGCAGCGAATTTGTGGTGTTTGATCATCTTAACAGCTCCTGTTTTATTGCCAGGAATGGTAAAACCCCATATTCTTGTTGTTTCATTTTGTTTAATACTGCCAACAATGTCCCATAGGTATATGACGATGATGATGACGACGACGATGGGGGGTGTTGTCACGTGCTGTGTATTGTCTGGGGCAGCACTAGAGGCCATGAAGAACGCCGCCGTAGAGCGTCACGTTCCACGGGAGGCGACTTGCTTGATTCACTGTTGACACTGAGCTTATACTTTGTAGCTTCAAATACTGCACTCGACTTAGCCACAGACCTGCTGCCGACCAATTTATCTGCTCATATACATCGCCTACCTCTGCGGCTATGCCTACGCATTCATCCCCGAATCTGCCAACCGGCGTATCCACCAACTCTGCTTATTTTCCTCTTTGTTCACCTGCCTACCTGATTGCCTACCTGGCTAAATACCCATTAACTATCCACCTACCCGTTCGCATGCAAACGCTGTTCATAGCTTTGCGCAAGTTTCCACTGTTTTCATAGCACCGCAGTGGACGGTGATTTGTGTGATGATGTTGCATTGTATGTCGAACCAGAGCATGTCTTACATAAGAGGGGCAATCGCCTGGAACAGCCTGCCAGTTCACCAGCATTGTTGATTCAAGCAAGCCTGACGCTGCTGATGAGACGCTGCATGTCGACGGCGGTTCACAGATTTGCTTGTTTTGACCGGATGCCTCTGAAACAATTCATCACCTGAAAGCGAAAGGTCCGTCGTTTTAAATATAGCCACAGAATAACACCAATGGTATTGTATTGTTATATATATATATACACACACGGGTATAGCACTGGGTGTTAGTGCTGCCGTGGGGCCTATTGGTTTCGTAAGAATTCCTTTTTTATTAAATATGGAGAGTTGAAGGTATGAGAGACATTTTGTTCTTGTTCCATTTCGCTATGTTTGTAAGTGTTGAGCGAAAGACTCAAATCACCGTAGGGGGCTGTAGGCTTCGCCTGCCGTTGGAGTGAAACAATCAACCAACCCCTGCCCGACATTTTTGCTGGCTCCAAATTCGAAACATTTCGTCGCTGGATTTGTTTGACTGTAAAAGCGTCGCCTGCACGATGGCTACGCCAAATACCAGGGTTGGAGCCCTTTCTGGTTGGAGCTGCCTTGGTCGCAGAGTGGCGATCGTCGGCGTTCGGTGATCACTGCGGCCTGTGTTTGTCTTCGCCGCCGTCTCATCTCGAACATGAGACGTATTGTGTAAATTCGCTCTCACCAGCTTGAATATAGCCTACCTGCCTACCTACCTGCCTACCTACCTGCCTACCTACCTGCCTGCGTGTCTGCCGACCCAGCTAACAACTCGCCCCCCAACCTATAAACCCACATCGAGCCACCGACTTGCCAGCCTACCCAGCCATCTAATACCTACCTGTCTGCCTACCTACCTGCCTGCCTACCTACTTACCTGCCTGCTTGTCTGCCGACTCCACCCACCAACTCATCTTACAACCTACTAACCCACTTATCTACGCATCGATTTGCCAACCTACATAGCCACGGTATCTCCTTACGTACCAATCAATCTACTCATTAATCAACCAATCCCACTTTCCTACCAACGTACCTACACACAATCTACCAATCTAGATTCCTACTACCCAAGGTCGTAATTATAATATATATTGGGGGACACACATTCCCCCGTTATTCAAATATGCTGGAAATGCCCCCCCCCCCCAATATATTGCTATAAAATATATTTCTGTTTATATGATTGTAGTCATGGTTGTACTTAATTAATCCCTAATCTCTGCCATTACATACAATGAAACAAGAAAAGGTAAAAAAGATAGAACAGAGCAACTTAATACAATACACTATTATACATCATTGTTATATATATATATATAAAGTCCATCCTATGTGTTAGTGAATGTTTTTAGATTTTAGGCAGGAAATTCGTTTTCAAATTTAGATTTATTTTTTTCTGGGGGGGGGGACCCCCCACACCCCCTAGAAGATTTGGTCTCCCTCAATGTTGACTCCATGGCTACGGCCTTGCTACTACCTACCCAGTTACCTATTCACGTGTCTACTGATCTACCAACCTACTTACCCACTAATCTAGCGATGTGCCCCCGTACCATCCAATCTACCTGCCTACCTACATTCCGACCTGCCTACCCACTGTCTCACCAACCTTCTGACCGACTTTACCTTCCTACCTTCCGAAGTTACATTGTCGGCGCACTTGCTGTGATGCTTTGTCAGTGTGTGTATAACTTAATTCCTGTTTATTAACTTCTAAAAGTAACCATGGGTGGGTACTTCGTGTAGACTCTGCAGTGCTTGCATGCATTCACGAGCTTAGCATCGAGAGCCCGTGCCAATTTCGACGACACACAATCACCGTGCGAAAAGCAATTGTGATGTCACTGCGAACAGCAATCTCACGGCACCTGCCTGCCACGAGATGTACCCACGTACTTACATATGCAGCTATACCTACCCATTCATCTACGAATCTGCCTGCCTATCCACCTACTCATCTACATTTTCGTCTCCCTGTTTGCCTACCTGCCTAAATACCTCCTTGCCTATCCACCTACCAGTTCAGATGTCAACACTCTTCGTAGCTTTCCGCATTTATTTCCACTGTTTCCATGGCTGCACGGTGCTACGTGCAATCTCCAACCCTAAGTCACTTGATCTGTCTGCTCCCCCTCTGTTCTCAATAAGGGTCATTGCGTAAAACCTCAGCATACAATATCATTTAGATAGATAAATCAACCTCCGTTCTGTATATCTACACACAATATGTATGTTGAACTTCTTTCGTACCGTGCTAATCGAATGTGCGCAATATAAATATAGACAGGATGTGTATTAGTCCAGTGGCCTATTGGCCTTTTAAAGTGTTTACACCAACTGTGAACACGGTGCGTCCTTCTGGGGCTCAGCAGAACGCACGTCCTCTATATGACAGCGTCTGGTCGGTGCAAAATCAACCCTTACTCACCACCAGCTCACACCACCAGCTCACTCAGAGACGTCGTTGTGTGTGTGGTACCGTAGATGGGCCGCACTTACCGGCAGTGGTAGACGGGGCCCGTCTGCAGGGGGAGGGGCTGCAGTGCCAGTCCAAGAGGGGAGGGGCTGCTGGGGGCTCAGGATCCCAGACAGCTAAGCCCCTCGGCGCTACCAACGGGGGGGCTGCGGGGGATCTAGGATCCCACGCAACCCCACCCCTCGATGGGCAAGGGGCATAAAAGGGCACCTCCCCAGCCGATCTGGACCAGTTGAAGACCGAAGCCGAAGATCAGCTAGGTAGGGCCTCCCCCTAGGCACCCATAGCCGGAGGACCCTGAGTGTCGTCCTGTGTCAGGGCACGTGAGCCCGGAGGCAGTACCTACCCAGACAGTGGTACAGGAGGACAGTAACCCTGAGTGTTCTGGGACTGTACTGCCGAGCGAGGTGTTTTAATAAATAGTGTTGCCTCCAAGAACCGTCTCCGGTGTCTCCTGAATCCACAACACTACATGTGCCCTCTACAGCAGGCTGAACGATGATAGTGGCGAGTGGTTTTATTGTAGCGGTAGGCCTACCAGTTTCGTTTTAATGAAGTAATACATAATGTACAGGCCTCGGTCAATCCGCTGCTGGATAGAGGAATCCCTATCCCATGCCGGCCAAGGAGGTGATAGATAATTTCGTGTGGTCAATGAGGAGCACATTTTGTAAATTCATTTCGAAAGTGATATTTACTTAGCCGTCCAATTGCTCCTGCCTGAGAGTTGGTAAATTGCAGACGCAACGCACCCACCCACTCACCGCCTCCAAGTTTACATTTGGGGCAGTGCAAATTTGGATGGTCCATGGCTTGGTGTCCGTAGCCACAGGAAGAGAGAGAGAGAGACAGAGTCTTTTA